CCCAGGCAGGTGCTCGGGCGGACAGACCGGCTGTTGCATGGGTTGCTTGGCCTTCCGCTGCATGGCTCTGTGCTTCCCGCATTCCTAAACTTGCCAGGGTAGAAATTCTTCATAGATATTTTTCTTTTTCTTTTTTGGTCTGTAAACTCTAGTTTTGCCAGAAGAATTTAGGAAAAACATGTCTGTGGGCAAAATACTCGGAACTGAGTTGTTTCTATATAGGAGAATGCTAATCTTGGATAACCTCGGAATGTGATTTCCTGCTTGTCCTGTTCTCCTTCACTGCCTGTGGTGATGCCCATGGCAGCTGCAGGCAGACTCTTGCCTGTCCTGCCTGGCCCCCTGGGGCAGGTCCCGCTGCTCCCTGCAACCCCGCCTCTCCTGTGGTCTGCAGAGTGGCAGGACGAGCTCTCTGACAACCAGTCGGAGTACTCCATTGGCTCCGAGGACGAGGATGAAGACTTTGAAGAGCGGCCAGAAGGTCAGAGTGAGTTAATGTGTTTGATGCTCCATGGGATTTGGCTCTGCGGGAGGCCCTGGCACTCAGGCGCAGTGGAAACATCTGGGTTGGAGGGACTGATGTGCTTCTGGGCCTCCGTTCGGGGGCAGGTGTCTTCACTGGCCTGCCAGGTGAGGAGATTCCTGGGGCAGGGATGGCAGCCGGCTCTTTCCTTCACTGGCTGCTGTGGGACCTTGTTCTGGTCCTCGTGGTGGAAGGCTGGGGGGACCGCAGGAGGAGCAGAGCCGGGACCCCCTTGCCTGGAGGGGCAGGAGGGTGCCCCGGCTCGGGGAGGCCGGTGGGGTGGGCGGAAGGGGCTCTGCAGCCCGGGCTGCCGCTCTGCCTGGGTTCTGCTCCCGTCGGAAAGGGGTGAGGGAAGCTTGGGGCACGCAAGCGTGTTGGCTATCCTTCCTTGCTGCCTGGGCCCGTCCGTCACTGAGGCTGCTTGGCTCCAGGTGGCAGAAGACAATCCCGCAGGCAGCTGAAGAGTGACCGGGACAAGCCTCTCCCTCCTTTGCTGGCAAGAGTTGGGGGTAACACCGAG